ATATTCTCTATCTCTGTCTGCATTTTGTGGATCCATACTGACATGGCAAACGAAAAGGAAAATCGTTTTCATCATCATCATTAACATTATCCATAGCAAGCATGATCATTATTGCTGTTATTATAGGAGCTGATTATGTTTTAGAGCATAAAAGCATTGTTCAACTGAACAGTGCTATTGGGCGAATTGTTCCTTTAAGATGAAATTCCCAAATACATCTTGTATAATGGCTATGGTGTACTACTTATGCCAGCAAAACGTTCATTACTTTGTAAACCACATTTTAATGGCTAGGTTTGCATGCTCTCTCTGTACGAGTACTATTCACAATACTTTGGTTTAGACATTAGAATTTATGATTTCAGATACTTTTTCATGAATGCCCACTGAATCTAGATAATAACAGTATAAAGAACAAGGAGCAAGAATCGTTCTGGAACAAAGAACAACATTCAACATGGGAAATGTCTTGAATATGTAAACTGAATGCCACTGAGGAAAAGGAAGACCACACACATACACACAAAGGTGGTCTCGTAGCATCCCGAAGCCCCAATCAGTGTAATAGGGTGCCAGATGCTGATCTTGGCAACAAAACATTGGCATTTCACAAGAAATTATCGAAATGTTTTTAACTGACAATGATAACAACAATAATAATAATTTCACATATAAACTCCCTAGAAAAACCACAAAACTACTTTAAATATTGGTCTGATTTTTGAGAATCAAAAGCAGAACCTTCGAATAAAATGGAAAAAACTGATGCACACCACTCTTCATTTCGCAAGGCTGCGGCAATTTCCAAAAAAAAATTGCTCAGATTAAAAAATGACTATATTTATTCTCCATATGGAACGTGGAAGTAAAATTGGCTGAAACCTTGAATCTCAGGTATTGCACCTTATTAATTGTAAGGTCCATGTTCACATCTCCATTATAAAATACTACCAATGATCATTAAAATATACTAATCCTCATGACCGTAATGCATCAACAAATCGAGAGCTTTGAGTTTTCCGTTATTGTCATAGTGAGATCTTGAAGATATTTATCCCACTGGACCTTGCCTGTTTTCACACTGGTTTTCTTCAATTACCTAGGGTCTGTATCATTATCAAAGTGCCTAAAAAAGCTAAAGAAAGCAGGCCATAGATTAAAAGAGATCAGTGGATTCTAGAATGCGTCGGTCAGGAGTCAAGGACTACACGGCAAGATTTCGGGAGGGGGAGAGTTGGAGACGTCATCCCGTAAACCGAGGACAGAGCATCCTATGAAGACTTCTCGAAGGGCTTTTAGCATCGTAAAGCATCACTTAGGGTCAAATCCGTGAACAAAAGCAAAATCTCTGAAAGGGAGCAACTCTGAAGAGTTTGGGGAGACTCCTGTGAATACCATGTCACATCCTGTGCAGGAGTTAGGGTATGTCTGATACACATCAAAGGGACAGATAGATTGCAGAGTTGCCTCTTGCATGGAATAACTTGCCTAAAGCAAGAACTGGCTCTCAGTCTGGCGTAAGCGGGACACCTCAGCAAAAGAGATGCGGGATGACATTCTCGCCTCTTTTTACCATTGTTCCTCGACCGACGACAATCCCACTCACCACCTGAGCCCATCCACCACCAATTCGTGGTTATATAATAAGGCGATCATAAATGACGTAAAAGTCACACAAGCATGAAAGTACACTTCACTTTGTCACCAACTGAGCTTGCACATGTGAAAGAAGTTTACGATTGCCAGACGGAGGACAGTTTGATGATGAAGCGCCAGAATGTCTGCCCTAGAAATAAGACTGGAGTTTCTAGCCGCCTTCCTCCCGCAGCCAACAATCAAACTTTTTTTTTCCCATCTCTATTTCGTTCTAATTTTCTTTGTTTTGATGTAGATTATTTTTCGAGAAGAAAAAAATATTATATCTTTTATGAAGATTTATTAACATTTTTAAGGATGAAAATTTAGTTATATGTTAGACTATTTATCATGTTTTTTGTGTTAAAAATGACAATTGAGATTTTTAATGGACTTTTGCTGGGTACAAATAAATGAAAATATCTGTAATATTAAATAAGCCTATCGAATATAATGGAACCACACATTTCCATTTTCTTTTCCTTTTTTTCCCTTTTGATATATCAACTTCAAACTCGGAGAGACCAGACATAGATTTAACCTTTGTTTTCAACAAAAATTTCAAATCTCTATGCCCGTTTTTCAACCCTCCCCCCCCCCCCATTACGAGTACCGCCCCCTAATTGAGTTTATTTCATTATCATCGTGTACGGCATAAAGGCATTTTCTTTATTTGGTATTCACTCTTTTGATTGTGGCAATGTAATAGCTCCGATTATTTATCTGTACATCTGAAATGTTTACAGATTGTATGCAACAGTTGATGGCAGATTTATCATAACTTTTGTATCTATTATTTGCACTGCATTGTTCTAGGGTAGATCCTGCAATAAAGGAGTAACTTCTAGTGTCATCTTCAGTCACCTGGTGAAACACTATATATATATGAATAATACTTCAAGAAACATACCATATGATAGGTGTGATGAACATATGAATTGAGCCCTACGTGAACTACACAGAAATGGATCGCGCTCTGACTGGTCGGCCAGAGTGGATCACGCTGCCTCAAGCTGAAGGCCACCCAAACGAAAGGTTCCAGTCGTGGGATGCATGGAGAACGATTAAAAAGCTGCAACAGATAATATCGCAACAAAAGCTTCATTAGAACAAAATTCAGATAAAAAAGGAGCTTACCCCTGCACAGGCATCAGCATTCGCGAGAGAGATGACTTACTAGGAAAGAAGACACTCAGTGACTGCAGAATTAATGGCCCCGGAGTACCGATGCCATTAATTCTTTTCCGTTTTGATTGTGTCATGATATCATTATCAGCAAGGGCACCAGAATTTATGATGCATATTCGGCATCATCGCCTTTCGCTTCTACCTTTTTATTATTAATTTAATATGACTTTTCATTTTGCGTTTTTGTCTTTGCTATTGGAAAACTTTTGTTTATTTATGCATTCTTTTGTTCATTTATTTACTCTTGCACAGGTGCACAGTTTACGAAAACTGTTGATGGGAAAGACCTTGGAGTCTGGCAGCACCCAATTGACATCAATATTCAATAGTGCATGAAACTGCCTCGAACCAGATGATTCATTATTAAATATATTAATATTCCAATTACCATTGTTAATATTGTGAATCTTAATGTCGTCACTATCATCACTATTATCGTATGTGTGTTTGTGTATGTGTGTGTGTGTGTGTGTGTGTGTGTGTGTGTGTGTGTGTGTGTGTGTGTGTGTGTGTGTGTGTGTGTGTGTGTTGTGTTTGCATATATATATAATATATATATATATTATATATATATATATATATATATAAATATATATATATATATATATATATATATATATATATATATATATATATATATATATATATATATATATATACATTATATAGCATATAGATACATACACACACATATGTATATATATATATATATATATATATATATATATATATATATATATGTATATATATATATATATATATATATATATATTATATATATATATATATATATATATATATATATATATATATAAGCTATATACACATGTATATGTTTACATATAGATGCATACATATACATGCATATGATGTCTATAAGTGTAGTATATGGACCTGTAGTCCCCAGGGGGCCCCACCTACCCAGAGGAGTGCCTTAAGGGCCAAGGTCCCTCCCCCTAAGGGTCAGTGGGCATCCGTAGGGTATGTCCACCCCCTGACGTCAACATCCCCCTTACTACTTACTGGAGTCCCAAGGGATATGACCTAGTGGGCGTCACGGAGGGAAATGCTAGCATGTTCTAAAGTGTGCTGGTGAATAATTAAAACAAATAAAAATAATTAAAAACAGTGTAAGAAGCCAGGGAGAAAAAAGTGGATAGGCTAGCATAAGAAAAGTACAAAATGCAGAAGGAGGGTAAAATGAAAGGAGAAACGGTAGTAGAAGACCTAAGAAAGAAATAAGGTCAAGTAGGAGAACCACGAGGCTGCATAATGATACGTGGTGTATGTATAAATGCAATCTTGCACGGTCCAGCTCCATCTTTAATGAATGCCGTCACTGAGGCTCAATACTTAGCTTTTCCGTTCTTTTGAGATCCTAAGCTGGAGCTGCCGGCCACTTCGGTACAATCTTGATATAAATATGTAAAAATGCCAGAGGAGAGAAACGCCCCGTGGTACAGTGGAACAACGAATGTTTATTTTTACTAACTTTTTAACTAAACGTTAAAATACAATAGGAATATCATACATTAAAAGGAAATAAAAAGGGATGGATAAAATCATGTATGCATATGTGAACACCGAATTGACAGTCGGCAAGCGTGTAAGAGATACTTGATACAAAAGAAAATAAAACAATAAGACTAAACATTAAAACACACAAGAAATGTAATATATTAAAAAGGGAATAAAAAAAGATGATAGGTAAAACATATAACCAATTAAACACCGAGCTGACAGTCGGTAAGCGCAAGGGGGATACACCTGCACGCAACCACACCACCCGCACTCACACTCACGCCACACACACACACACACATCGCACATCACACACACACACTTCGCACACACACACACACACACACACACACACACACACACCACACACCACACACACACGCACACACATTGCACACACCACACACACACGCCCGCACAGGCGTGCCCGCACCCGCACGCGAGCACACACATACGCGCGCACACGCAGGCACACCGAGTGAGCATCATCTGAGGGGGGGGAGGGGTGCCGAGAACAGTGTCACGCTACAGAATCCGTCCCCCGGATTCGGGTCAAAGCAGCCAGCGGAGACCTGAAAAGAGAGGAAAAGCCAAGCTTGAGCTCTGACGGTGCAGACAGGACTGGACTGAGAAGCAGCGCACGTATACATTACCACCAGAATATCAGCGCCCTGCCGGAGCCAGCTCATCAT